GCAGTGTAAGTAGTAGTAGTAGTTATAGAAGTAGTAGTAGTAGTAGTGGTAGTAGCAGTAGTAGTGGTAGTAGAAGTAGTGGTAGTAGGAGTAGTAGTGGTAGTAGTAGTTGTAGTAGTAGTAGTAGTAGAAGTAGTAGTAGTAGTAGTGGTAGTAGTAGTAGTGGTAGTAGTAGTAGTAGTAGTAGTAGTGGTAGTAGTAGTAGTATTGGTAGTAGTAGCAGTAGTAGTAGTGGTAGTAGTAGTAGTAGTAGTAGTAGTGGTAGTAGTAGTAGTAGTAGTAGTAGTATTGGTAGTAGTAGTAGTAGTAGAAGTAGTAGTAGTAGTAGTAGTAGTAGTGGTAGTAGTAGTAGGAGGAGGAGTGGTAGTAGTAGTAGTAGCGGTAGTAATAGAAGTAGTAGTAGTAGTAGTGGTAGTGGTAGTGGTAGTAGTAGTAGTAGTAGTAGTAGTAGTAGTAGTAGTAGTAGAAGTAGTGGTAGTGGTAGTAGTAGTAGTAGTAGTAGTAGTCATGGTTGTTGATTATTGTTTGTTGTGTAGAAGATGTTACCTTTGTTGTAGTATCAGTATAGTATTGTCGCTGTAGTAGTACTACTGCTAGTAGTAGTACCCATTGTGAATCAGGCGCAGTACGAATCCAGACGGTCTCTATGACAACATGACACTAATTAATATAAGTAACATTACCACTACCATCGGTCAGTAGATGGCGCTCCAGTTACATTCCCTTATAACAAGGTCAGGTAGGCGGATTAAGCATCTAAGGGTACCTCATTGGGACCTCGTGCGAAAAATTTGGGTCGACTTGTCGACGTCCTGCAAATACCCCAGCTAAATGCCAGCCATTAATGTCCCTCTATTTATCAGTACATATTACTTTTAACTGAACCAACCATCCCTAGACATAGCAATTAAAAACTGAACATTAATTTGTATAGAAATAAATTTTAAGGTACATCAAACAAACATTGTTTTGACAATCTGGCATCTTTTACATAACATGAGTTTATGTTCCCTAATCTTTCCGTGTTGACATCTGATTGAATTCTACTAACACAATCGTGACAGTGGCCAGAAGGTTAGTACAGTTTGTGTGTTTGTTTTTGTTTGTTTAACGCCGCACTCAGCAAGATTCCAGCAATATGACGGCGATCTGTAAATTATCGAGTCTGGACAAGACAATCCATTATTGACATCATGAGCATCGATCCACGCGGTTGAGATACGATGACATGCATCAACCAAGTCAGCGAGTCACCCGATCTCGTTATTAGTCGCCTCTTAGGTAGTAACGACAAGCATAGTCGCCTTTTACGGCAAGCATTGGTTGCTATTCTAACCCGGATCTTCAAGGTTAGTAACGAGCGAATGTACTATCCTGCCTGGTAGATTGCACATGGCTTTGATAAATCAGTGGAAGGGAACTGGGTTTTTTTAACGACCCAATACAATCAAGGCTGAAATTCAAATTCACATGGATAACAAAAAACACTGATTTATCAAAGCCACGCTTTTCATATTTCGGACCAACAGTCGGTCACTCGCAACGCCGGGATCCTAGCTGTGCACTCAAAATGGATCAGTTTTATTGATCTATCAGTTCAATCATAACCTGTCCGTTCCATTAGAGAATTAGAGTGCTCGCCAAAGATGTTTAAGTAAGTTCTAGGACCCTATACTGAAGAAGTGAAAATCAGCAAACTCGAGTGAGCTTGTTTGTCATTGACAGCTTAAAACAAATGAGTGACTGAGTTAAAATATGACGTCGCATCAGCATTATTTTAGCCATATAGCGACGCTTGAAACGAAGAGCATGGTCTCCCTTAGAGTACGAAAAGACAACTGTGGTCAACGCGCAGGCGTTTTTACACTAGAGATCAATATAGAGTTTTCGAATGATTTGTGTCGGGACTGATCTGATCATGTAGTCGCGTGCGTTCATTCATAAACAAACAACTTCGGAAAAAATGCCACAAAATACGCTTCGAGTTGGACACAAATTAAGCCGAGCATCAAATGTTGGTCTCGACATCTGTCCAGATAGTTTAGACTAACTTCATGTCACCACGCTTTACATTAATTCAAATTGAAAGTTGCGAAATTGTTCGGGTGTGTCACGCTCTGTCGGACATGGCAAATTGACAGTTTGATTATATAATGTATATATAGATGTATGCATACCTGAGGTAGAACGCAAAGCGAGTTTGATGTCTATTTGGTTGAATATAGGTTTTAGTCAATGAGATACCTTCTGTTCTGTGTCGGAGGAGTAAAAGGTTTCGTAATATCGAATGACGTCTCGTGATTTTGTATGAATTAAAAGAATAGTTGCCAGAGGTCACGAATAAAACGACCCACGTGTGACGTACGGATTTAGTAGCTCACCATCCCTATCTTCACCCCGTGGGAGTGAGTGAGTGAGTTTGGTTTTACGCCGCTTTTAGCAATATTCCAGCAATATCACGGCGGGGGACACCAGAAATGGGCTTCACACATTGTACCCATGTCTCACCCCGTGGGAAGTAAAGTCGGAATATCATTGTATCATTAATGTCATCATTTCTCAGTGATTTCTACGCTAATGTTTACCACTACTTTGCCATTAAAGTCTGTTTCGGAGATGGTTATTCTGGCGTTGGCTTATTACATATTATGAGTATTGAATGGTTTAGTCGCTTTTATTTAATGACCTAAAACTACAACAATCTAAATTTCTCACTAACTACCAACATATCAGGGAATATTAATGAATCAATGGTCTCATATGAAGTCTTTGTTATGGTAGCTTTCAGAACCAGCCATTGAGCAGACTTATTTTGGTGTGTGTTTAGCATAAGCATACCAGCAGCCAACATATGCCAATCACATTTATAATCATTTCGGATCAATTTAGTATCGTATTCGTGTGTTATCCTCCAGCGCATTCACTTTATGAAACTTTTAAACAAGCGGCCATCTTCTGAAAAAAATTGAAGTTGGAATGTCCTGCATCTTCATCACATCTACATTCAGTCCAGTTCACTACTAAAAACATGACTAAACACTTTGCAATACAGAGACAATTTTGAAGACATTTGGCTCAGAGTTACGCCCCATGGACGTCAGGATCCGCTAGCGCTTGGTTCGAATCTCTTGACACAACAGGTGATATGAAGAACAGTAGGTAAGATGCAATTGATAGGTTTATGAAACACCTAGAATTCTAATCTCGTGAATGTCAAAGAAATAAAAAAAAATCATTAGAAAACGAATGAATGTACAATGGAAATATATGTTATGAATGCATAATGACTTTAACCATTGTTTCCACCACAACCTCCACCGATGGATACCACAGCTGAAAAACATGAATGTCAAACATAAATTTTGTGAAAGAAATAATTTTCTTGAGCTAAAAACATAATTTCCTTGAATAAATAAATATTGTTATCGTACTCAATAATTTAGCTGCATTTATGATTCTGATTGACTTGGAATATTGCTGTTTGTCTTTCACCAATGTTTTGATGTTTACATCAATCAAATCCATCTCCTTGTCTTAATATATCGCATCCCTAGGACATTGACGTTGCTATAGGAAGATTGCGCTGATTGGAAAACAGTCTACAATACATTCTATGACAACCGTGTAGAAGCTTTGCACTATCTTTTCATGAATTAAGAGGTTCGGAACAATACTGAGTGCATAAACTATTCAAGTGACTCACATCAAGACAAAACAAAATGAATCAAGCTGCACGGGCGGATAACGAGGTCTTCCTAGAACGGACTAGAAGCAATACTGAATCAATATCCCAATCTGCGACGATTAAAATAAGAATCGGCTTCCATCTGTACTATCTGTGGTTAGTGGACACAGCAAAAATGGAGGAAGTCGGTCTCGTTCTGTTTTGGACAATTCTTGTGGCATATTCCCCAGATTCCGTACAAACAGGTGAGAACAGGTGCATGAGTTTTAAATATGTTATTGTACTTTAAGGACCATTTTTCTATTCTTAGTTGTAGAGTTGTTGAAAAGATATAAATTAATGTTCGTACCCAAGCTTTATTCGGTCTCACGCTTAACTAATGAATACTTCATATATAATTAAATGAATTTTGAATTTATGTGAAATTAACGTGTCAAAAATTAAATCCTTTATTACTTTTTCAACGGGAAATATTAAGGTGATGTAGAGTTTATTCCTTCTGCCATCTAGGACGAACCACAAGATTATATTTATTTAAAAATCCCCAAATAAGGGGATAATACAACCTTCTTTCAGGGCTCACCTAAACCTATGTCACATTGATTGTAAATTGTTGGATGAGTGATGCATAACCTGGATTATAGCTCAAACATAACAAAAGTGATATACCCATTAAAACAAGGAAAAACCGATCTGCCATCTGACAGACAGTTATAGGGGATATTCGAAATTCACAAACAATTACAGAAATACAAAGCAGTGATGGTAATGGATGAATTATAAACGAAAGGACTTGGTGTAATATGATAATCAACAGGGCATATTGGCAGTGTATTGTAAGGGTGCAGGCAATCAAGAAAGACGTCTAAAAGTTAACGTTTGAGATGACTCGTGGAATGATCCGACTCAGTTTGACAACATTTCAAAGAAGTGTCAAAATCAGGACCCCCTTTCCCACGTGCAAGGACGAATTGCATGGTCTGCGTGAGGTTTTGGTTCCGAAACCGTTCTGTCTTTAGCAGTCATTTTTCAAAGCTCATCTTTTGTCTGACGACCGGTCATACCAGTTATATTTCATAATTGAATAATTCTTTAGAGAGTTGATTTGAAAAGAAACTCAACAAATGTCACTATAACGTCACATCGCTTACTCACAGCCAAACACAGGTTAAACACGTTCGTTACGGTGATATTTGCAAATCAGCTGGGAAAGTAGCATTTTCACATTCTGACCTGTCGACCCATTTCTTTGACCATAAGCTGCAAGAAACATTAAACTAGCAATTATTGCTGTAACATCTTGTTTCGTAGCCACACACAGAGGAACCTCGTTCACCGAACCGATGCTACCCGGGGAGGAGGGACCATTTCCTGGCGAACTTCTCATCTCAATCACCAGAAAACAACAAGACGCTGGCACCATACACCATCATGCAGGAACTACATCAACGCCATTTAACGTCACCAGACAACGTGGTTACCGATGGACTGTAACTCAAGAAAATCCACTGTCTAGACATGCACGTTCGACTAACAGCCTCTCTGTTACAACAGGACAGTTTGTTACTGTCATGGCTGTCAGCTCGTCACTTGGACCAACAGACGGTTACCTGGCCATCGCTGTTAACAAATGGGGCAAGGAGTACTATGTCATCACTCACGACGAAGGTCGTAGTCAAGTGGCCATCACTGCATCTGAAGCCGTGACCAGTGTGTTGGTCACTTTACCGCCTGGATGTGTACTGGTCATGGATGAAGTCGAAGTGATGGCTCCAGAATATGTCAACGTCACCTTGGATCAATTTGAAGTCCTTCTTCTCCAAGCTGATACAGACCTCACTGGAACCTACATTCAAGCAGATAAACCTGTTGGCGTGGTCAGTGGGAATAGATTCATTGGGGAGAGAACGCATCTGGTTGAACAGCCTTTGCCAATCAAAACATGGGGGAGGAATTTTGTGTCTGCACCGAATTTCGACAGCCACTGGGGTCCGGTTGATACCTATAGGATCATCTCCAGTTTGTCTGATACAAACATACTTGTTGGAAACAGAAGTTATAATATAGAAGTATCTGGGGCATGGCTTGATGTAAACATTGGCACGCTTGTGAAAATCGTGTCAGACAAACCTGTGATGGTGATGAAATTCAGCAGTAGCAGCATCAGCGGGACTCCGACATGCATGGCAGTTCTTGTTCCCGAGGAACAGTGGCGCTCTCGATACACGTTTATTACACCTTTAAACTTCAATAAACACTGGGTCACTATCGTCGCTCACACTGATAAAGTACAATTAATAACATTGGACGCAAACCCTATACAGGTCCAATGGTCCTCTGTTCCAGGAACCAACATTTCTGTTGGCGTGAGAGAAGTATCTGAAGGAACCCACTATCTGGATGGGTCTGGCAACCACGCTGTCTATCTGTCAGGTGCTGGGAATGGTTCAGCCTCATATTGCTATCCAGCGGGTATGGGTGTGGATACCATCAATAGTGTAAGTCTTCAAAATGAGTAAGTGAGCTTGGATGTAAGTCAGACGAATGATCCCTCCTTTAATATATCCGATCAAGTAACCATATACCTCGTACATTGTGTATGTCAGTATAACTGCCATAAAGAGAACATAAATATGCCAGTTAGGAGCAACACCCATCTCAAGCATGCGTCATTTAAAATAGACAGTGAGTGAGTGAGTTGTGTTTAACGCCGCTTTTAACAGTATTCCAGTCATATCACGGCGTGTCAGCTTAATGTGGGAGGAAAGCCCGAAGTGATGCAGGTCTCCGACGTTTAATACTTCGGTGAAACCCACGAGCACGGGTATGGTGCTGACAAACCTAGAAACATAATTTGGGCGAACCGAGATTCGAACCCACAATCATAGGTTTCCGGCGTACCCAAGGGACGTAACTCTGCACAGCAAATTGCGGCGCCTTAAACGACTGGGCCACCCGTGCCCCTTCAGTTATTGGGAGTGTTTGGTGATTTCATGTAAGCGTTGTATGACATGCATGAACATCGAAACACTGTAAACTACTGTCACAATTCGTCCAAACTGAATATTTGCATTCCATCTGGTACCGCACTACGATAGCCTAATCCAAGGATGACATTGTTATCGAGCTCAAGATAAGCGGATCCTGGCACACCTAAGAGATGAATCAATACACATTGAATTGTGGCACAGTAAAGACTCCTTCTTAAATGTTACAAAATTCGTACTGTGTTATGACATTCTCATAGGGTTCACTGAATTTAGTACCGCTTAGTACCAAAGCGTCAGTGTAATACACTAAAAATTTAGTCTTTACGTGCATGTGGATGCGTGTGTGTTTGTATATGTACTTAAGCGTATGTACTAAAGAAAGCAGTTTTAAGAATATTATATATTATTCTTCAGAACTGGACATATCTGGCACCGAAGGTCAATGAAGTACCATGCAGGCTGGATAGTTCCCATTACTTACAGGAACCTACTTCAAGTACGATGTTGCCAGCAAACCCAACCATGGGCCCTGGGCTTTTGACCATCCAACCATCTTTTTCATCTGAAATTGAGATGTATGCGCCTTCAACTTCCCAACTGTCTTCAAGTCAAGACCTCTCACTTTTAATACCCCCTACCGCGTCTCACAAAACAACAGATTTAGAAATATCTAGTTTTGACAGAGCCATTGTGGAAGAAAGCCAAAGTGTTCAGCATTCCAATTTCCTCAGCGAGGATTCTATGAGTATCAAATCACTCAAACCAAATTTCACTCAAGATCAACTAAAGGACATGATTGATCACATCCGATTTAATCTGCTTCTCAACCAGAAGAATCTGTCGACCTACAAGAGAAAGCACACCAGTGCCCCTGATGCGCGCGTGTCAGCACGAGCTCTGGGGACCTTCGGTGTTGTGATTATCATCTCTGCTGTTTGTATCCTGATAGCCATAGACCTGCCAGTACTGTGCCATGACGTCATCAACCTGGCGCCGTCGAAACGGCCCAGAATGGACAGAAGGATTCGTTAGGATTTTCAGGGCTTCTGATGTCAATGACGTCAGTCTCCAGCAGCAATGGAATTTGAAATTTTTATTTAAGAACTTTCAAAACAACACTTTCCTTCTAATTGGTGCGCTTACCCTCCTATCCGACTATTTTGCTCTCTATTTAATACTTAAATTTACCCCGTGAAGATCCGGGTGCAAATTGGACTTCAACAAGAGTCTTTTGTAAGATTCCGACTATATCATGAGCATGTGTTAATTAATCCCTATCAAAAAGTGATTTATACCAGGCATTCGCGATACGTTAACTTTGGAAATGTCTGCCATAAAACCTCTTGAAAGCTTTGCTGAGTCCTTGAATGTTGTAACCGTGATGACAAAGTAACTTCTGAGCAAAAATAATGAAATTATGGTGAAAAGAACATGACCGACTGTATCTCAAAAATTGTGAAATATGAACACCAAAGACTGGCGCTTCTTAAATATTGCTCGACATAAAGGGAAAGTTGACTATTGGAAAGTTGAAGTCATCCCAATTGTCATACAGTCTTGTAGAGAATGTTTTGGCCTTCTGAATCTTTATGCACAGATCTAAATATGAAACAGATGAGGCGATCTCACTGGTCTAATTTATTTCTACTTAAGGTTGGTAAATCAGTGGAAGGGAATTGAATATTTGATGGTTATTGAACTATATCAGATCATCAATATACCTGAAGCATACGTTAAACTTCTTGGCCAAATTATTTTGTTTTGACTCAGCCAATCCGAGCAGAAATTCCGATTCATGTGAATAAATGAACAGATCCACAAGAAAGGAGCACAATTGGTGCCCATGGGGATGGCTTCTTGCCTAAATGTCTTACCCCGAAATTGTTCATAGATGTAACTATCCGTGAAGATTCGGGGTAGAATAGATCTTCAGCAACCCATGCTTGCCGTAAAAGGCGACAATGCTTGTCGTAAGAGGTGCTAACGGGTCGGCTCGTCAGGCACGCTGACTTCGTTTGATACATGTCGTCGTATCCCAATTGCGATGATCGATGCTCATTATGTCAATCACTGGATTGTCTGGTCCACACTCGAATATTTACAGACGGCAGTCATATAGCTGAAAAATTGCTGAGTGCGGCGTTAAACAACACATAAACAAACAAAAACATGTTATCATTGAGGACTTCAGTTGGATGGCATTTTATTTCATTTTTGACAAATTGTCCTGAACCTCTGAATATAGATATGTAACTGTATCTGTAGTCGCCACGTTATGTAGCTAAAGCCCCATGAATCAAGGAATGAAGTTTTTTTCTGAAGTTTGTCATCTGGGATGGTGTACTAAGTTGAAAATGTTTTGGTTATTTCTGAGACTGCAGAAAGTCAAGCAATTCCTTTGTGCTTTTGAAAAGCCACATGTTATTTATTCCACTTTACTCAAATATACAGAAAGTTATTTCCACATTGTATTAAGGATTATGGTCAGTCTTTAAGGTTCTAAGGATTTGGTGTACTTTTGCTGGAGCGAGCAATATATTTCTCGTTGTCCGGATTTTTATGGAGCTTTGGAATCCAGTAGCGGAATGGACATGTCTTCAGGTTTTAGAGTCAAATCAAAAGTTCTGATGCATGGTTTTGGCAGACTTCATCCTCAGCTAACACACGGGCCTTATAAATGGCATTATTTGATGCAACCAATGCTTGTCGTAAGAGGCGACTAATTATGTAAAGGGATTGGGGGGTCGGGTTCGCTAGATGCATGTCATTATATCCCAGGCCAGTTCCGTCGGTCGATGCTCATGATGTTAACAATGGATTGTCTGGTCCAGACTCGTTTGTTTACAAATTGCCGTCATATGTCTGGTATATTGCTAACAAAACTAAAACTGAACCTCTTCTAAAATGATAACATTTTTTTCATGCCTACATGAAGCAATTAATGACATGTAATGATTATCATGTTGTCTTAGCTTGTCCCTTGTATTGCATTATGAATAACGTAATCCTCCACCTGCTTATTGGGTAAAATCCATCTTTCCAACTTCTTTGCTCTCAATTAAATATGTTATAGTGCAAACCACTAAAATGGATAGAAGTGTCATATAAATGCCTGTATGTTATCAGAAATCTGTGGGAATCTCTAACTTGATAGGGGGGGACGGGTGGCCCAGTCGTCTAAGGCGCCGCGATTCGCTGTGCAGAGTTGCGTCCCTTGGGCACGCCAGAAACCTGTGATTGTGGGTTCGAATCCCGGTTCGCCCCAATTATGTTTCTAGGTTTGTCAGCACCATACCCGTGCTCGTGGGTTTCACCGAAGTGGAAAACGTCTTAGACCTGCACCACTTCGGGCTTTCCTCCCACATTAAGCTGACACGCCGTGATATAACTGGAATAAAGTTAAAAGCTGCGTTAAACCTAACTCACTCATTCACTCTAACTTGATAGCAGTCCGCTTTGCCTAACAACGGACTGCCATTTATTCTATTGCGATGTGGCGTCACTGGTGTCACGTTTCTTGTTTGTGACGTCATCCTATATTATGTTCTCTGACGTTGCTATTTGTACATAAGTGACCGTTGAGAGTTTTTCTTCTCCATAATTTTTATCAATAATGTCTCGATCGTAGTTTTTTTAATGTAATGTCTTTGCATATCACACTTAATTATATTAATGATAAACAAAAAACAGTGTAGAAAAACGGATTTATGTACCAGAATCTTCACATGAAATATGTGAGGTGGGTGTTGGAAAATCCACGATGGCTGTCACTGACGGTATACGGTCTCATATTGGGTTAGTAGTCCTGCTCTCTGATTGGTTAATCTCACTTTCTAGGCATAATGAATAAACATATAAATATATATATTTGACTGCTACAATAATTGCTTGTTGGTCTTAATTATTACCTGTGACGACAGAGTGTTATAACTGGCACAATGTTGACCGCGGTATATGGCACCGCAATTAGACGTGCCAGGATCTGAATATCGTTGGTTTGAATGTCAGAATCGCCTTTTGACCGTGGGTACCCTGAGTTGTTTGTAAGCGTTTGCCTTCTTCTCCCACCCGTTCCCTGATTGAAATACACAACACTTATTTCACACACAGTCTGTCATTAATCATCATTTACGTACAAGCGTGTCTCTGTTTAAACATCAAAGCTCCCGGCTGCTGCTGAGCAAATCAATGTGTTTTCAATTAACCCCATTTTCTAAACTATTATGTTTTTGAATGCTGGCTTACCCTTACAATAAGATAATTCAATCGAAGTGTGTGGTTATGAACAGTCCCAGTGATGATTTATTCAGATGTTCAGTACAAACGTTTGTGTACTGAAAACATATTTGTATTGTTTGTGGCAATGAATTCGATTGTTATTTTTCTTTTAAAATTTACAAGAACTACCTCAAATAAATATTGGTAAGCAAAATATGTTGATAACAGGGATAATGTTTTTGCAGCCAAGCGATGTTTATTTATTTATATCAGTGCGAAATGACAGATTGATGTTCTTAGGATTGCTTGTCTCAGCCGTAGACCTGGCACTTAACAGTCAGAATGGAAATGAGAGATCAGCGTGGGATATTGTTATATCTTTCTCCTGTATCAGTCTGTTTATGTACAGAAATTGACAGATTTGAAAAAGGGGTTACATTTTTCATAGCGTCTTCGAATCCAGATATGAAAAATAAATATCACAATATTTCTACAATGACAATGGCAGTGTGTTCCAAAATAGAGTAGTGCTCATGTTGTGCAGAAAACATTCTTGTTTGTTTAGAAACCTCCCATTTTCCTGACCCACTTCTTGGGCAGATCATATTATGTTATGTGTTATTCATCTCGAGTCCTAGCTTCAGCAGGAGCCACTGGGCGTGGCAAAATGACAAACAGAAACTGAAACAAGCCCTGATCAGTTGTTTTGCTGCTTGTTTTAGTTAAGTTTAAAATGAAGTGTGATGGGGGAGACCGTTCAACATAGGATCGTTATTGTGTTGTATTAAAAGTGCAGAGATAACAGTAGCGAATGTTCAGAACTCAAAAGACAAAAGAGCTGAGAGAAGGATGGCACAAAACAAAGCAATAAACAGTTACCTCCCCTCTTCGAATAAACTCACAATACCATACAGCGTAGTTGGTTTCTTTAAACGGGAAACTCGTCAATGTTTTGTTTTTTTAATGCGGGATGAGATAAAAAATCCAAGCGGGCGAGTAGCTTGATTTAAAACATTTGTTCAGGGGAATGATAATTTTGGACCAGTGTGATATGAGGAACACACAAAATGCTACAGTTACAGTTAGAGAGTCATCTCCGTGGGAACTTATGATGTCAAGGTACTCAAAAAGGTCAGTTATGGGAACCGTCCAACCTCATTCTTAGAAATCATCAAAATCGTTAATTGTCAGCCGCGTATCAGTGTTCAGATGGGTTCTAAATCCACAGGAGCATCCTACTGGTGAAACACGTTTCAGCAACTCTGTCTCCATTACAGCAAATATGTTCTTCACTGTCATGGCTGTCAGGTCGTCACTTGGATCATCCAACGAATACTTGGCTCTCCACTAATGGATTACTATGCATGGGGCAAGGAGTTCTATGTCATAACTCATAATGAAGGTCGTAGTCAGCGGGCGTTACTGCGTCTGAAACCATGACCAGTGTGATGGTTAGTCAACGGCCTGGTTGTGTATTGGTTGTGGCTCAAGTAGACGTTAGGGCTCCAGAATATGTCAATGCCACCTTGAATCAGTTTGAAGTCCTTCTTCTCCAAGCTGATACAGATCTTACTGGGACCTACATTCGAGCAGATAAGCTGTTGGCATGGTCAGTAGAAATACTGTGCAAAGCAGTTTGGAAGTTTACAAACATATTGTTGAACAGCTTCCTCTGGTAAGAGTACGGGGGACATCATTGGTGTCGATCAGTCCTGAAAGTGACACACAGAGTGATAACATGTCCGTCCAAAACAAGCCTAATAATAAACCACAACACTTACAGAATAGAAGAACAAGGCGCTTGGACAGAGGAG